CATAATATATATATATATATATATATATATATATATATATATATATATATATTAAAAAACAAAAGTCTTAATCAAGTAGTATACAGATCTTAATACATATCTTTATATTCGGATTCAAATGTCTTAATCATAATACACATCTTGATATTCAGATGTGTATTCAGACGTCTTAATCTATATCTATATTATTATAAAAGCACGAATAATTTATGCTAAATGTTGAACGACTAAAATATCCCTGAAACATTGATCGACTTTTATGCCCTTAAATATTTGTATAATTTAAGGATCTAATGAAAAATTACCTAATGAGTCTTTTTCAATTTAAACTATACATATACCAGACCCTACAACGTTGATCCTACTTGAATTAGAAAAGTATTATTTCTAATTACAATTCTCTATAACAAGGCACGTAATAAAAGAAAGATACGTACTAAAAGAAAATTTTAGTACTACATTAAAGAAACATCTATAACANAAAAAAAAAAAACCACCACCAACCGCCGCCTCTAGTCGGCATTCACATGCATCACCGTTTGTCATTACCATCACTAACTACCATAATATATATATATATATATATATATATATATATATATATATATATATATATATATATATATATATATTCTATTATTTTTGGGAAGCAGTTAAAAATATGTATATTTCTCTAAAATCTTAATTAATCATGGACTTGATTTATCAAAATACCTATATGATTAATATTTATTGCTTTGAATATGATAAAGTAGTAATAATTTTACTCGGGTTATATCTGACATAATTTAAATTTGACATAACTATATAATAATTGAGACAAACCTCACAAATATGTCAAAGTACAATAGTGAAAAGTGATACTTTATGGAGGTGATTCAAATAGGGACAACTATATGTTTTACTTTTGAGATGGAGAAGCCAAAGTTATTGAAGGAAACATACACCAAAAACGTCCTCTATAAAGAAGTATTAGATATGATACTATCACACTGAATATTTATACACTATAAATAGAATATCATTTAACTTAATTAAATTGATCATCTTTGTAGGTTAAGGCGATATAATTTTGAATTCAAGTATTCTATTAGTGAGCATTTAAATGATTGTTGTATTTTTATCACGTTAATTACTTTACAATGACCATATCATCTTGTAAATAATTTCTTACTAAATTTAGTTAGTTGTTCTTTCACATGAAAGTTCTGACTAAATATTTACGTGCAACGCACGTACATAGTAACTAGTTATACTAAAAGCACGAAGGCCCTTGGCGAAATATCGTTTGCCTTTTTTACCCTTTAAAAACATATGTTACATTGGATAAAATTGTAAATCAAAAAACTTTCCTTATATTTAAGAGTTCTAAATAAAAAAAATTCTAATATAATTTAGCGTTTGATATCTTTTCCTAATAAGGATACAATATATTAAGACATAAAAGAATATAAAAAAAAAGTAGGAGGAAAGATTTTTGTTAGTTTCTAACAAGGAAACTTCACGTTTTATATGGTGTTTTTTTTTCTTTGTCCTTTTCTAATCATAAAGACCAATTCTGCCTTTATTTTTCTTTCATATGATTTATTTGTTTTTTCAAAAAATTTAAATCATAAGTATTTTCTTAGAAGCTTGGTTGTTAAATTCGTTAAAATTTACTATGGCATTAGATTTTGAAATTGTAATTATTGTTGAAAAAAATAGTAATCATTAATTTGTGATAAGAAATTAATTTACAAAAATACCTAAATTACCTCAATGCATATGTTAAAATAAATAGATGGAAAAGGACTTTTATTTTTTGGTTGAACAAATACAAAGAAAGTTTGCTACACAATGTAACTTTACAAAACAAGAATTAGTTAGTAAATTCATCTTGTAGATAATTGGATTTTTTATAATATATAATTGATTCTGTCACTAAGTAGGATTAGCGATGAATTTTATTATTTAACTACATAATTTATTTATCGCTAAATTTTCTTCTCTTTGTAGCTAACTTATCTTAGAATACATGGTACATAGATGACTATTTTGATACGAAATTAATATAAAAGAACGAGATACACAATAATGCTAAACTTCCAAGATTATCTTCGTTGTTGGCATACTTAGATAGGACATCCGCTATTTTATTTTATTTTAACTAAGTAGGCTCAATATTTGTCATATTCAAGGAGCTTATATTTTTAAAAATCTTATTGTTAAGGGATTATATTTTTTATAATTTTATACGGATTGATAGAAAGTACGTGCATCGCGCATATCCTAGCACGAAGACCCTTAGAAAAATATCGTTTACTTTTTTTATCCTTTAAAAATATATATTATATTGATTATAATTGTTATTTAATTATTCTACTAAAATCAACTAAATTTTGGTCATTAAATCTTTCCTTATTCGGACTACATTTATAAAACCTAAATTTTATGAATTTAAAACCAAATAAAAATTTGTTTATAAATCCTTTCCTTAAATTAATTATGTAAAGTAATTATGACACGTGCATTAGACAAAATGTATATAAACATGTTAGAAATCTACTAATATATTTTAGATCTAATTTTAAGTTTTTAAAAATTAAAGATTACTAATAATATGTAAACCAAACTTACAACATACTAGGTCGAGTATGAAAATATATATAAATAAGTTTAATATGACATGCTTACGTTTTGAAAATAATAGTAGTATTTTAAATTTGAAGCAATAAGTACTATAATGTACTTTAAGTTAATTATTTGAATAAGTTGAATACATATTGTAAATTTATACACATATTAAATTACAAATCCAATTATAATACTCTAAAAGTAAAAGGCGCT